TTGGTATTGATACAGGTGTGTGTTGGTGATACAGGTGTGTGTTGGTGATACAGGTGTGTGTTGGTGATACAGGTGTGTTGGTGATACAGGTGTGTGTTGGTGATACAGGTGTGTGTTGGAGATACAGGTGTGTGTTGGTGATACAGGTGTGTGTTGGTGATACAGGTGTGTGTTGGTGATACAGGTGTGTGTTGGAGATACAGGTGTGTGTTGGTGATACAGGTGTGTGTTGGTGATACAGGTGTGTTGGAGATACAGGTGTTGGTGATACAGGTGTGTGTTGGTGATACAGGTGTGTTGGTGATACAGGTGTGTTGGTGATACAGGTATGTGTTGGAGATACAGGTGTGTGTTGGTGATACAGGTGTGTTGGTGATACAGGTATATACAGGTACACATAAGTCTCACCAACACACCTGTAACTTGACACAAAAATGGACGTCAAGATTGCATTGTTTAATTACGTTTTCCACGAATGAGGGAGACGTATTAGTGTTTCCTGTGCTTCTTTCTTTCTTTCTTTCTTTCTTTCTTTTCTTCATTTTCTTCTTTCTCCTCTTGTTCTTCTTATTATTATTACTATCATTATTATCATTATATATAGTGTGTCATGAAAGAGAGAAAGAAAGAAAGGAAGAAAGATAAAGAAAGAAAGAAAGAAAAAAGAAGAAAGAAAGAAAGAAAGAAAGAAAGAAAGATAAAGAAAGAAAGAAAGAAAGAAAGAAAGAAAAAGAAAGAAAAAAAAGAAAGAAAGAAAGAAAGAAAGAAAGAAAGAAAGATGAATAAAGAAAGGAAGAAAGAAAGAAAGAAAGAAAGATTCTGCACTAACACTCTACTATACACAAATATAATTGATCCATATTAAAAAAAAATACACCGTAAAAAAAAGGTATTAAAAATCAACCCCAAACTCTAATATTTTCACACACTGAAAGACTTTAAAAAAAATTGACTTTGGTCCACGAAAATATAATACCTTAGCCCCAAAACAACAATAACCTTTCAAAGCTCTTTTAAAAACAGTGATTATATAATATTAAGTATTCTTGACATAAGTTCATTAGTAGAGGCTTAATGTTGAACAAACAAAAACAACTTTTCTAATGACGGGAAAAAAAATTGATGGGGAAAAAATATACCAGAAGAATTTAATTTTGTTTTTTAACCAATTTGTTACTGTAGTGTGTGTGTGTGTGTGTGTGAGTGTGTGTGAGTGTGTGTGAGTGTGTGTGAGTGTGTGTGAGTGTGAGTGTGAGTGTGTGTGTAGGTTATATCGGGACTATTCATTATGTGATGTTTGTAAATAAGTCATTGTTTGTAAATTAAAATAGTTATTTACATGTGACAGTCACCACCACCACCTTGAGTCAGTGTTACCAGCCAAGAGTGAAGGCCTCTACCCCCCTCCCTTGACACCCAACACCACAACTCAATTAACCCACAATAAAAGCTGCAACTCTAAGTGTTTTTCAAGAATACGACTTAAGCCATAAATTCTCGTATAAGAAATTAATTATGCCTTAAGTCTTGGATGTAGTTAAGGTATACAAGAGAGCATTTTTTAGTTCATACATACATACATACATACATACATACATACATACATACATACATACATACATACATACATACATACATACAAATACATACATACATACAAATACTATCTCTCACACACACACTGACATGACCTGCCTTGACCTTCCACCCATGATATTATTTTCCTTTCGGCTACACAGTATGACCTTTAACCCGCCCTGCCTAACTGACTTACTGATAGACGCTTCCTGAGAGAGTTACAGTCCTGATCATTTATTCAGTTGTTGTCTCCATGCCAAGATATCGGTGGGGAAATTTCTATATATTTTCCCCTGCCAGGATAAAAAGGACAATATTTGGGGATTTTTTTAATTTTTTTCCCTGGCAGGATCAAGAAATGGACAAACTTGGGGAAAATTTTGATATATATATTTTTTAACAATTCCTGGTGCTTTTTCGGTGTCAGCCTTGTGTCAGCCCACTGCTGATGAATATTATAATGACAGGTGTATAAATGAGGGATATATACCGAGAGAGAGAGAGAGAGAGAGAGAGAGAGAGTCTATCTATCTCTGTGCATGTAGTCTATCTCTATAACACACACACACACACATGATGCAGTGATGGATGCTTTAATATAGATGTAGATCACAAGGAGAATAAGCAACAGGTGTTTACACGTTAATGAATGAAAGTGTCAGGTGTCGTGTGTGTGTGTGTGTGTGTGTGTGTGTGTGTGTGTGTGTGTGTGTGTGTGTGTGTGTGTGTGTGTGTGCTTTAAACAACTATTTCTTCTGTTAACCATCCAAACACCCAATAAAACTCCATTGCATTTACTTCCTGGCTAAAATAAACTGTAGATATAACAAAAAAAACATCAAACAAACAAACAAATAAACAAACGAATCAGTAACTTCACTGCGTTGGAAAAAAAATCTAATTTAAAGCTGTTTTATACCTGAGTGTTTGTTTTACTGTTTTATACCTGAGTGTTTGTTTTGCTGTTTTATTCCTGTGTTTGTTTTAGCTATAAATATCCAAACTCACAAAACCAATAAAAATAAAACACGTGTCCTCACTTACCTAAAACAAACTGATCTGTCACTGGAAAGAAAAACAGAGGAAAAAAAAAAACACAAACCGATAACACCCAATCGACGAAAGAACGCATCCAATTCGAAGCTGTTTCATATCCGTCGCGCCACAGTTCACCAGGATAGGACGAGATAGGACGGCATGGGATGGGATAGGATAGGAAAGGTCCATCTCACTCTGGCATTCATTCTCTTGTATATATGGATGTCCAACACTGCATCACATGGAATGGTCCTGAGGCTTTCCAACACAATAAAGGACAATCTGCTTTTTTCTGGGATGCAAAACACGTGTGTGGACCAATGATTCGGGGGTTCGGGGGTTCGGGGGTTCGTCATCAACCTAATTGTACCGAACCGAATTGAACCCGAACAACAAATATGGCGGCTATTGATGCTACTAATGTATTTGTTAATATTATTACTGTTGTTGTTGTTTTCATTATTATTATTATTATTATTGTTGATTTCATTTTTATCATTATTATTATTATTATTATTATTATTATTATTATTATTATTATTATTAGCATTATTATTGTTATTATTATCATTATTATTATTATTATTATCTTAATTATCATCTTGTTTTAATTATTGCTTTTTTCCCTGAGAGAATCTTTATCAGTAAATAATTTGTTAAGTAATGAAGTGAGTTAATTAGATGCTTGAATGTAGTGAAATGTAATATGTGTACCTGTGTGTGTGTGTGTGTGTGTGTGTGTGTGTGTGTGTACATTATAATCCGGTAATTAATTAAAACTGACCCACAATAGCCAATAACAATAGCCCCTGCCACAACCTACAATACCCAAAGAACAATAACCTGTTTTAATTATCCCTAAGCATGGAACACCTTTACCTTTAGCCCTCATTAGCATACAGCACAATACATAAACAACAACAACAAAAACATGTATGGCAAATTGAAACACACCCCACACACACACACACACACACACACACACACACGGAAAATAAAAAATCTAAAATATCCGATTTACGGCGCGAGTCACTTAGTGTGGACTGGTTGATTGAGGTATACACTCTCTCTCTCTCTCTCTCTCTCTACCTCACCTCCCCTCCTACCTCTCCTCCCTCACACACACACACACACACACACACACACACACACACACACACACACAAAAACAAGGTGATCCACACACACACTTTATGCTACACGGAAATATGAGAGAGTGTACTATAACCAGCTTGTATAAACGTCAGTAGTAGAGTACAGAATTGGGAGCACTTTACACCCTGTGGCGCTGACGGCCGAGTAGTGTGTGTGTGTGTGTGTGTGTGTGTGTGTGTGTGTGTGTGTGTGTGCGTGTGTGTCTTTCTTTCTGGGTGCAATATGATCTCCCCCACCCTATTTTCTACACCAATTTATACACTTTAAAAATCCCTATTTCATCAATACCGTAAAATTTTACTTTTAAACCACACTTTCACAAGATCTGAAAGCATCCTTGTTTCCCTCTCCTCCTGAGTAAAAAATAGTCCTTTCCACCCAATTTCTGAACCAATTATACACCTTCTGAACCCTATTTATCTACAGAGGTCATATAATCTACCATTATTACTATTTCCACTCTACTGAAGAGGTCCAGAAATTCTCTCTCCACCAAATTGGATATAAACCACTTTACCTGATTTTCCAAACCAATTACACACCCGATGAAATTCTATCTATATACTGTAATCACCTTTTCTATCGTTAACAACTATTTACAACGTTATTAATCCTATCTACGCAACCCCACAGTCTTCCCTAGGACTGAATACTGACCCAATTTTACCTATTTCTTAAGCCTATTTCACCAAGCCTATTACACCAATTTATCCCTATTTTTGGTCAATTTGCTTCGTCTTACACACATCCACTTCTTTCCTCTTCCATTACTTAATATCAATCCCCTTTTATTCCATTTACTAAACCCATTATACACTTATATGGCTCCATTAACACATTAGAGGTGAATTTCATACTTTTTTATTATTATTTTCACCCTTCTCTGCCCTCCTGTGTGTTTGTACGTCTGTCTGTCTATCTGTCCCTCTTTCTTTCTGTCTGTCTGTCTGTCTATCTGGCTCTCTCTCTCTCTCTCTCTCTCTCTCTCTCTCTCTCTCTCTCTCTCTCTCAACTAACTTGTTCCAGGGTCCTGTTACAGTGCTTACAAAGTGTTATTAAACCCTTTGAATACATGATTTAACCCTTTGAGTATGATGGTTTAACCCCTTTAGTACTCAAGGGGTTAAACCATCATACTCAAGAAACTAAACCATCAAAATCGTCTTCCTATCTCCAATTATTTTTTTTTCCTCTGAACTAAGAGAGCTTCCACGTCCTCTCTCCTCCAGTGTTGGGTGTCGACTGAGAGGGAGGTAGTGCTCAAGACTGTCTCACTCACCACGTCCGGGGAATACACCTGTGAGGTCATAGGTGAACACCCTAAATTCAGAAAGGAAACACGCAACGAACACCTCACCGTTTATTGTAAGTACCCGAATACCGTTTTCTATAAGTACCTCAATACTGTTTTCTATCAGTACCTCAATACCGTTTACTCTACCCAATACTGTTTATCCAGGTTCTCCCCAATACCGTTTTCTATAAGTAACCCCCTCAATACCGTTTACTCTACCCAATACTGTTTATCCAGGTTCTCCCCAATACCGTTTTCTATAAGTACCGCCCCAATACCGTTTTCTATAAGTACCTCCCTAATACCGTTTTCTATAAGTATCTCCCCAATACCGTTTTCTATAAGTACCTCCCCAATCCCGTTTTCTATAAATACCTCCCCAATACCGTTTTCTATAAGTACCTCCCCAATCCCGTTTTCTATAAGTACCTCCCCAATACCGTTTTCTATAAGTACATCCCCAATACCGTTTTCTACTCATGCCTCTAATACAAGTTTCTATAGTACCTCCTCATGCCGTTTTCTATAAATACCTCTATTACAAGTTTTCTATAAAGTGCCTCCCCAATGCGTTTTCTATAAGTACCTCCCAATACCGTTTTCTATAAGTGCCTCCCCAATACCGTTTCCTCAAGTACCTCCCCAATACCAGGTTTTCCTGTAAGTACCCTCCCCAATACCGTTTTCTATAAGTACCTCCCCAATACCGTTTTCTATAAGTACCTCCCCAATACCGTTTTCTATAAGTACCTCCCCAATCCCGTTTTCTATAAGTACCACCCCAATACCGTTTTCTATAAGTACCTCCCCCATCCCGTTTTCTATAAGTACCTCCCCAATACCGTTTTCTATAAGTACCTCCCCAATACCGTTTTCTATAAGTACCTCCCCAATACCGTTTTCTATAAGTACCCAAATACATGTTCTATAAATTTCAGGCTTTTTATAACTATCTCAAGTCGTTTTCTTTATCAATTTCAATAAAAGTAAAAAGTCATATATTTCCATCCTTTTGTTTATGTTTTTAAGTCTTATTTAATTTATATAACATTTCTAATTTCCGAAGACATATTTTTTAATATATATTCACTTTTATTTTGAGTCTAAACTACTTTCATTTATTACATTTCCCGTTTTTTTTATGATAGAATTTGTTATCATCAATTTCTCTTTCCTCTTTCTCTTTCTAATTTCTCTCTGTATCACTATATTTTCTCTCTACATTCTCTTTAACCCCTTTCTTTGTACTTCCTCTCTATTTAACCCCCCTTCTTTCTACCCCTATTTTTCTCTCCTACCCCCCCTCTCTCTCTCTCTCTCTACCCTCTCTACCCCCCCCCTCTCTCTCTCTCTCTCTCTCCCTCCCTCCCTCTCTCCCTCTCTCCCCCTCTCTCCCTCCCCCTCTCTTCCCTCTCTCCTCCCCTCTCTCTCTTTAACATTTTTCTTTCAGTTTGCTTCAGCATAAGTGCGGGAGGAAGTCGTCCATCACACACTCATATAATTACCAGGATTTATTAAGATTTATTTTACTTCATATTAAATTCCTTCATTTTTATTTATTTTTTATATTACAACTATTTTATTTTTTTCATCACAGTTATAAATATTATTGTTTTTTATGGTTTATTACGTTATAAATATTAAATACAGCTATTATATTTTAATCATTCATACATACATACAGTACATACATACATACACACATACATACATACATACATACATACACACATACATACATACATACATACATACATACATACATACATACATACATACATACATACATTCATACATTCATACATACATACATACATACATACATTCATACATACATACACACACACAGTCACCTCATCTCCCTACTCTATAACACACAAGGTAATTATACAAAGGGTAACTAGATTATAGAGAACAGAGAAGGATGTGCAGGAGAGGAAGGAAGAGAAGAATTATACAAAAGATAATTAAATTGTAGACAAGTAATGGAGGAGAGAGAGAGAGAGAGAGAGAGAGAGAGAGAGAGAGAGAGAGAGAGAGAGAGAGAGAGAGAGAGAGAGTAACGAATACAGGAAGATGGGGGAGTAGACAAACAGAAACAAACAAACAGACAGACAGACAGACAGACAGATTTTCAAAGCACAACCATAACAACCCCCCTTCTCCTCACCCCCCTTCAATTCTAGCATCAACTGACCAACCAAGTAACCAACCCCTCATCCATCTCCACACACACACACACACACACACACACACACACACACACACACACACGACTATAATGAAGCGAGTCACCCCTCCGGCCCACGATCCATTTTCTAAGACGATTAACTAATGTCATCGATAAGTCAGGTTTATCGTTGAGCATAATACACCAAGACTCATGATAGTTAAGGCTTGTTTAGCGCCATGAATCACCTCCAACCACAGAGCCACACTCTCGTAATTGACTCATCAGGGGGCGATAAATTGAGGTGTGTGTGTGTGTGTGTGTGTGTGTGTGTGTGTGTGTGTGTGTGTGTGTGTGTGTGTGTGTGTGTGTGAAGGTTCGAAGAAAGTGTGAAAGAGAGATAGAGATAATACGTAGAAGAGTATATTTTATTACAGTAGAGAGAGAGAGAGAGAGAGAGAGGGAGAGAGAGAGAGAGAGAGAGTAATATATTCTCCAATACAATATATTACTGGAGCATCCTTGTGTCGCTTTCTGGTGGAGTAAGCAAGAGACAGGCAGCGAGAGAGAGAGCGAGAAGGAAAAAGAGAGGAGAGAGAGAGAGAGAGAGAGAGAGAGATAACAAAAGACGTATTAATTTTTATGTCATTAATGTCTCTTTCAGTAAGTATCATCTCTCTCTATCTCTCTATCTCTCTCTCTCTGCATCTTCCACCAGAGAGATCCACAGAAGACCCCAATAATATACTGCATTAGAGTGAATATATTAGACTGTGTGAGTCAGTCTCTCTCTCTCTCTCTCTCTCTCTCTCTCCTTCAACCCCCCACCACACACACACACACACACACACACACACACACACACACACACACAATCACAGTAGCAGCGGGGCGGAAACATATGCCACGGCTCATGACTCAGATATTTACTTGTGAGAGAAAGAGGGAGACAAAGAGGGAGAGAAAGAGGGAGACAAAGAGGGAGGGAGAGGTAGACCACGGCTCCATGACTCCAGATATTTGCTGTGAGAGAAAGAGGAGACAAGGGAGAAGGGAGACAAAGAGGGAGGGTAGACAAAGGGGAGACAAGAGGGAGGCAAGAGGGGAGATAAGAGGGAGGAGGGTAGACGAGGGAGATAAGAGGAGAGAAAGAGGAGACTGAGAAGGAGAGAAAGAGGGAGAAAAGGGAACAAAGAAGGAGAGAGAGAGAGTCAACTGATGGACAAATTATTTTCCCATAAAAGATATAAATTAACTCACTCACAATAGTATCGGATAAAAGGATGACCTTAGGTGTGTGTGTGTGTGTGTGTGTGTGTGTGTGTGTGTACTGCCAGCTGTGAGTAATATCGTTAAAGTTGAGAATGGGGTGATTTAAGTGCGTGTAAGTAATGATGTAAAGTTGGAGGGAAGGTTTATGTGTGTTTGTAAGTGTGGTAGTAATGTATCGAGAGAATGTGTGTGTGTGTGTGTGTGTGGTGCTAATATAAACGATAATAATAACAACAACAACAATAACAACATCAACAACAATAATAATATCCCTAACCAGAAAATCCCCTAAAATTCCCATATAAACCTCCCAAAATTACCTATATATAAAATCCCATCATAAAAAATCCCTAACCACAAAATCCCACCCCCAAAAAATACATAAATTATTCCAAAAATCCAAAATCAACTTCCTGCCTTAAAAACCCTTCAGAGTGGGGCAGCGTCACTGGTCACCCGGCAAGAGGATTCAACACAGAGTCCTGCTGGTGGTGTGTTTATTTTGGTCCTCTAGAACGACAACAATAACAAAAGCGCTGAATCCGATTACCTTACTTATGACGTCACGAGCATACAGGAACGAATGAAAAATGATAAAATTTTGACAGAAAACAAAAAATCGATGATAAAATTTGGTAATAAGATTTAAAATAATAATAAAATGTGTAACAAGAATAAAAATAAGGATGATAAAATATGTAATAAGACTTGAAATCATAATAACATTGTGTAATAAGACTTAAAATAAGGACAATAATATATATGAATAAAAACTGTGAAATTGAATACCTGTGTGTGTGTGTGTGTGTGTGTGTCAGTGTATGTGTGAGTGAATGAATGAATATATGACTGTATATACTTATGTGAGTATGAGTGTATCTATGAGTGTATCTATCCACAGTGACTCACACACACACACACACTTACACCACACAGAAGACAGGGAACGAGATGGTCTAAGGAACCCATCAAGTGACTCAGGCGAAACTTAGCATAAGGGAACGAGACTCTGAGCTGAATTCTCAATGTGTCTGTCACGTGAAGCGAGTTGTTTGACTTGTCACAACTTAGGGGGAGTTAAGCTGTTTGGTATATCTCCCCTCTCCCCATGTCTCTTCTCTCCCCACTACCTCCTTTTCCTGTCCCTTCTCTTCTCCCCTCTCTCCACCTCTCCTCTCCCCACATATTTCTCCCCTTTCTTCTTCTTCCCTCTTCTCGACCTGTTTTTTTCCTCTCTCTCCACTTCCTCCTCCTTCCTCTCGATCTTTTTATCACCTCTCTTCTCTATCCTCCTTCCTTCTCTCATCCTCTTTCTACCATCTTCCAAACTAATTTCTTTCTTCTCCTCTTCTCTATCCTCTTCCTGATTTACTATCCATCTCCCATTCCCTCTCTACTGACTCCTTGTTCGTCCCTCTCCACCTCTTCCTCCCTCTCCCCATTCCCTCAGTAATTATTGGGTGTATAAAGGGCTACACCCTCTCTCTCTCTCTCTCTCTCTCTCTCAAAACACCACAATTTCCATAGGTTTTAATAGCCATATCATCAACAATTATCATTATGCATTAGACCAATAATTAAATATATGTCCCAGTAATTACAGGTATATATTTCAGAAATTACAGGTAG